CACCGGATCATTCAATCGGTAGGAGCAGGGTCACAAAATTCCTGTTCATGCAGACTCGACAAGCTTCTGAAATCCTTGGAAGCGGCCACGTCCGCTGTAGAGCCAGTCGTCGAAAGTGTCGTGAGCCGCAGAGCGCTGCTGCCACATTGAAAGCCTGGCGGACTCCGAAAGCAGCAAAATACACAGGTGAGTCAGTTTCTCATCAAACTTGTCATGCTGCCCCTCCACTTTTCGCATTTGTATAAATTGATACCCTTGTGCGGAGTGGTGATGCAAATGCCGGCACACTGTCGCTGGAGACATTCGCTACTTGTGGTGACGATGTTGGAGCATTCCCAGTTCCCAGGACTGGTCACCGTGTGATCCCTTCTGCAACGGGACGCAAAAGCGCGAGAGGAACATCACCACGCATGCAGCCTATGGCGGTGTTCCCTGTGGTCCAAGTCTGGAGGACGGCTTGCAGTTTGCGCACGGTCACAGTCACGGTTGTGTGTGTGTGTGCATGGATGTGTGCAGCTTTGGGGCTTTGGGCTCTCGAGGACCAGAGGTGCAGCAACTTCTGTGTCGACTGTGCCTGGTCGGACTGGGGCGCCTGGCCGCCGTGCACGGTCTCATGCGGAGGTGGCACAGCCCGCTCCTCNNCTTGCAGGCCGCTGCTGAGACTAGGGCCTAGGGTCTTCGAGACTTCCAGCTTGCAGGCGCTACGAAGCCGTGCCATCGAGACGCCGAAACAAGGAGGTGGCCAAGAGTGCACTGGAAGCGACCAGGAAACAAAGACCTGCAACGAGCAGGACGGGGACAAAGACATGGACACAGCTGGAGCTCTCTTGTCTTTGATTTTCAGGAGTGCCCTGTGGACTGCGAGCTCGGAAGTTGGACTGCTTGGAACGGCTGCGAACCTTACTGCGAAGGAGCGGCTTAGCGGTGTGCAAAGCCGGAGTCATAGCACGTTTGACATCGATCCAGACCGAATCTGTCGGAGCAGGTTCGCAGACGCGCCAGCGGAATGTCACACGAAAGGCCGCCTTCGGAGGCAAATCCTGCAATACCTTGGCGACTGAAGAGCCCGACTTCGCGGGCGGTGTGACGAAGCAAATCCGACAGTGCTCAAATCCATGCGGCCCACAGGATTGCCTCTGGTCTAATTGGACTGACACTTGGAAGATTTGGAAGCCATTGATGTGGAAGTTGAGGCTTAATAGTTTCTAAGGCTGAGTTGCTGATGGAAGCTGCGACTGTCATGCTTTGGCATCTGAGGACTGGGGTGAGTGCTCTGCTTCCTGCGGCGGTGGGATCCAGTCCCGCTTCTCCTCCGAAATGAGTTAAGGTCTTTCTGTGTCCTCTCTGGTGAATCTGGTGTTGGCTAGGGCTGAGAGCCTTGAGAGCCTTACCTCAACATTTCCGCTGGGAGTTCGGACCTGTCGTGCAGATATTGTAGAAGTCCCTCAAGACGTTTACTGCATAGAAACGTCTCTTCATGGATGTGCCTTGTGTTTCCAAGTCGTTCATTATTGCTTCCAAATCGTTTCTTGAACCTGTTCTCGAAGCCTTCGTTTTGGCAGATCTGGATGAGTCGTCCAGGGAGGCATTCGGTGACATAGGCTGTTCTCGTGAAGCTTGTGATGCCAGACGTTTCACCTTATCTGTAGGAGGTACAGGTCAGTGTCTGGAGCTGACAGTCTCAACAGCCTCAGAGAAAATTATGGGAACCAAATCATCAGAAACAAAACATGACTACCTGTCTAGCCACAGGTTGGAAGGGCTGAGTTTAATTTGTGACGTGAGATGGTGTGAGCAATCGAAATTTGTGACTGTTCTCGTGCATAGACGACCCTTTGCAGCACGACGATCCTGGTCATCCTTGCGCCGTGTTGGACTCAAGGCGACCGTCACATTGCGCGCCCAAAGAGGGGCGAGGCTGAAGATTGCACAGGACAGGGTCGACAATTTGATTCAACTTTTCAGCCTATCCGGAACAGGGTTCAACGAAGGTCTTTTCTATGTTGCTCTCTGCTGTCAAGCTTGGCCTGAGAGTTCATGATCTACTTTTGACGTCGAGGACCCTTTAACGAGACACAGGCTTGCAACGAGAAGAGCTGTCCCATCGATTGCGTCCTGGCCGACTGGAGCGGATGGTCGGACTGCGACCCCTATTGACGCTCGGCTGCAGAGCAGGGTCCTGGTGTTCTGCATCTCAACTGTCTTGAACGTATACTGACTCCAATCTCTTCTACGAACCTCGAGATAAAGTCAGCAGCGCAAGTGATTGAACCTCTTTCCCAACGCTGCGAGACATGTCTTGTGCGAAGGTGTTGGGAGTCAAAACCGAAACCGGATTGTTGTCACCGCGCCAGAGTTCGGTGGGATGCCATGTGGGTCAGTGTCTGAGACGCAGCGTGGCCGGGCCTGCATTTCACTCTCTTGAGGGCGGATTGCTGGTAAGTTTATGGGCAGTTGCCCGGGCTTGGTGAATTTGATTGTCCGACAGTCGCCGCAGAACAGCTATGATTGCCGTAGCTCTGGAGCACGTCGGCAGAGGGCATTCCAGACAAGTTGGAAACGGCTTGAGCATGCTGCGCCTATGTCATCAGGTTGCACCAATTTTTGCATGGACTGCCAGCTGTCCGACTGGAATGACTGGGCTAGCTGCAGCAAGACCTGTGCTGGTGGAAGCCAGCACCGCTTGCGGGATGAAGTGTGGCTCGGCATTTAATCCATGATTCCTTTGCTGTTTGTGCCGAGGCATCGTTACTGCAACAGTCCAATCCATGTTGGAGCGTTGGCTACCAGGTATGTGCAACGTTCAGCCAGCAGCTCCTCGGTAAGACATTGAACGTCGTGTCTGCCCAGAACCTGACGCAACGGGTTCTGGTCGGCAAAGAATAAGAAGTAGAGCAGGTTCCAGGGCGCACAGCATTTCCGGGCTGGAGACGCAGCTCGCTTCTGGCAGTTCGAGTGCCTAAGCGTAAGAGGATTACCACGACAAATCACAGTGCTGCATGGGGATCTCCGAGCCCAGACTCTGCGATTGAGGCCTCATCGAGCTGCAAGCAGGCTCCGCCTCCTCCACAGGACCCACATGCTTCTGGTCGTAGCAGCATGGATGGGGGTGATTTCGCCCCCAACTCAAAGCATGCCGCAATCGTGATGCATTCTGTCAGGAGCCTGGGGCTACCAAAAGAAGATGGGCGTTAGGCGCCGTCGTTTTTGCTGTGGTGATACAGCGTGAAGATCTACTTGCCGACCTCAATGACCAAACCGACACCTTGAGGTCCTTACAATCCCATCAAACCCCACGTGTGCTTTACCAGATGCAGAGGGCGAGTGTGAGCAGGTGCGACCCAAAGCACCAGCGAGCGGGTGCCGCGACACCTCAGGAAGTGGGTGAGGGGATGAGTGTGTGTTGTTTCCTGGCTGCTGTGCTGTCGCGATTGCAGGAGGCAGAAGCTTTGTGCAGCGCTGATCCCACCTGCGGAGGCGTCGTACACAGAGCTGTGCAGCTTGTTTCCTCCGCTTCTCTTGCCTACAACTACAAGCTGCCGACTTCCGGCTACTATGTGCTACTGCTCACTCGGTTGTCATCTTCGTCCCCTGCTGCCTGCAGGCATGTACGACCAGGGCTGTGACAACTGGGTGACGCTCTGCGATGCAGACTTCACTCTGGAGAGCGAGGAAGCCTCGTGCTCCTACCTCAAGAAGGACCAGGGATTCCGAGTGCCAGCCCTCCGTGCCCTCCATGTCCTGCTGGCACAGAAAGTCCTCTGCTCCGCTTTCTGCAGGAGATCGGTCAGGGCATACCATGCAAAGGGAACATCAGTGAGACGGCCACTTGCAACGCACACACGTGTCCAGTGGACTGTGTGATGACGGACTGGGCCGAAGCTCGCCTGACATCCCTTTGGTGAATCTCACTACATATCATTGTTCTTGTTCTCTTGCCTCTGTTTTCGCTGCCTTCCCAGGAATGGTCGGCGTGTGATCCATTTTGCAACGGGGTGCAAACGAGAGAGAGGAACATCACAACGCATGCAGCCTTCGGCGGTGTTCCTTGCGGTCAAAGTCTGGAGGACAGCCTCGGAACTGTTTGTGCAGTCGTTGTGTGACGTTCTTCCTCCGATTGCGAGGACCAGAGTTGCAGCAACTTCTGTGTCGACTGTACTTGGTCGGACTGGGGCACATGGTCGACATGTACCCTGTCTTGCGGAGGTGGCACAGCCCGCTCCTCAGAGTGCTTCGAAGGCTGACCGACTTGCAGGCCGCTGCTGAGACTAGGGCCTAGGGTCTTCGAGACTTCCAGCTCGCAGGCGCAACGAACCCGTGCCATCGAGACGCCGAAACAAGGAGGTGGACAGTGCACTGGAACTGGCATGGAGGAAAAGACCTGCAACGATGAGGACGGAGACAAAGTGACACAGCTGGACCCAAAGCCCGGAGCTGCATCTCTCTCGTCTTTCAGGAGTGTCCTTTGGATTGCGAGCTCTCCACCTGGACTGCTTGGACCGGCTGCGAGCCGTACTGCGAAGGCGAGGGCAGTACAAGTCACAGACCGAGTGTTCGAGCCAGCTTTGCCCGGGAGGCACTCAGATGCGGTACCGAAATGTTACCCAGGAAGCTTCCTTTGGAGGCAGGTCCTGCAACGCCGTAGCGGCGGAAGAGCCCGACTTCGAGGGCGGAGTCACCAAGCAGATCCGACAGTGCTCCAACGAGTGTGGCTTTGCCAGCAACATTGAACACATCATCAGATGGTCTCGCGCACGGAGCCTTCAGACATCATTTCCGTCAGATCAACACAGACCTGCAGCAGATGGTAAGAGTTTTTCAAGGAGCTGAGTGATGAAGGGTAGTTGTGAAGGAGTATGCCTGCATGTAGCCGCTCGCCAAGACTCGCGGTTCATCTGAGATCATCTGAGTACCTTTAGGCCGTAGACCGTGCTTAGGCTCACAGAGACCCACTCTGTTCACATGCCCAAGGTGTGGATTGCGAGTGGGGTGACTGGGCGCCGTGGAGCAATTGCAGTGCGTTCCAGACCAAGATCCAAGATTCTGTAAGTCTCGAGAACGCTGCGCCGGGTGGCAATGACGTTGATCCAGGTCATGCCAGGGTGGCACCCACACGCGCAACCGAGAGGTTGCAGTCGTCCACTCAGTTTCTAAACGAAGTTGCCATGTAGTTGACAAGCCACCATGTTTGTTGTGATTGGTCCTCGCTCGTTGTCGCCTCGTTCTGCATCCAATTGCAAGAGTTCAGAGTTCAATGTCCACAGATCAATGCACAAGGTCTCGGAGTAGGGTCCTCATGTGTGGAACGCAGTTGCCAGACCATCTTGACAGCATGTTGACGCAAGTCTGTGGAAGCATAAATGTGACGGCGAAACCAGAAAGAGCCTGCCGGAAAATTTAGCGTCGTTGCCAGAGCTCGAGTAAAGCGAGACTGAGACGCGGCGTGCCTGTTTGCTTGTTGTAGGTTTCTGCACGAGCGTGTTTTAGGAGCTTTGGCCACGACCAGAGTGTCTTGTCTTGTTCTCGGTGCAGACCTAGGGCTTGGATAGGTGCTGGAATGCTTAAGTCTACTTGTTGAGGTCTGGGTCTGATCTGGGCTCATTTGGGGCTGTAGGTGTCAAGAAGCACAGCAAAGATTGGCTAAGTTCGGGCAGAATTGCAATGTCTTGGGGTAGGTTTTGTACAAAGGCGGGGGGGGGGGGGGGGGNNGGGGGGGGGGGGCGCAATTTGGGGTGTGTCAAAGTCCCGTCCGCGGCCGTGCGCCGACCTGGAGCTTTTGGGAGCGCGTCGGCACCCTGTCCCACCTTGAGACGCCGACGGGTCCCGACAGGCGTCGGGTCAGGTTCGCACGTGTTCTGCCGGGTGTCCTGGGCATGGTGCGGTGCTGCAGTGTTGGGCTGATGCGGAGCTGCGGCGAAAGCTGGGGCTGAGTTCTGATTGCAACTATGGCGACGTAGAATATCGGACAACTTCCTCTGCCTGTGTTTATGCCAATGCGGCGTGCTTTGCAATGTATTTCATGTCAGAAATGTACAATGAAAGCTCGATTTCGGACCCGAGGTTCGCAGCAGATTGATGTCACGGGTTTTGCTCCGGAAATCACGTCTATCGTCAGCCTTCTATGCCCTATTCATATTAATGTTGTCACTCTATTCTTATCATTGCCGTTTCTATTGTGGTAGTTGTCATGGCAGCAAAGCGTGTTGCTGCATGAGTCTGCATTGCTTGCGTGCCCGTTTCGCTTCTCGCTGCTGGACCCCGATCCCATAATGAATTTGTAGACGATGCGGGGATTCTTCCCTCAGCACATCCTCGGCCGAGGAGATTCCACAGCTAAAGATCCATCACCACCACGTTGGTGAACACCTGCCCTAATGGCCATGTCTATTGCAGGCGCCGCAACTACTAATCTCCATCACCATTTGCAATGCTGCGTCATCATCACCATGACCGTCGCCATCATCAGCACGATCATAATCATGATCAGCATCATCATCACCGTCATCGTCGCCATCGTTTTGGCAAGCTTTGTATCCGCATCACCGTGAGCCGTCCCTCCATTCTCTGCTGCACCTCGTCGTCCATCGGCTGCAGCATGCCAGTCACTATCATGTGGTGCCATTTTGGAAAGGCTATGTGCAAATGACATCTTCAAAACTAGGTGCCGGCAGATGGTGGTGGCAAGCAGTGCAAGGGCAATGTCACCGAGGCAGGCTGTGTTGCCAGCTTTCCCGTGGCATGTTTTTACATGCAACCCATTCTGCACTTCCAGCAGAGGTCGGTGTCTGCGCCGACACGTGCCACGGTTGAACTTATTCACAACTGCTTTTTTTTGGCTAACGTCGTGAAGCCATCGGTAATGCTTCTGTCTCTTCTGCCGGCGGCATGTACTATCTGCAGTCATGCTTCAGTACCAACGCCATTTCAAGCACAACCCCCGGAACTTCCACCCGGGTTCATTCAAGTTGAGAAGCCACTGCCCCGACCAGGATTGCATGCCCGGTTGACTGTGTGATGACGGAGTGGGGCGGATGGACGCCGTGTACGCCATACTGCAGCGGCAAGCAGCAGAGGTGTCAGTCAGTGGTCTGTCGGTGTGGTTGAGGGCCTGAGGTGCTGACAACTTCGGTGTTATCTAATGCCTTTGAAGGTGATTCGAAAGTTTCAGCAGCTTTGCTTGGGACAGCTGTGCAGCCCAGCCGAGTTTGCAGGAACCGCGTCATCCTGACCCAGCCCTTTGCCGGTGGAGCTGCCTGTGGGGAGACAGCCGAGGAGCCAGCGGGTTGCCACGGGATGTCGGACCCTTTCAGCAGTTTCTTTCTGTCTTGATGCAGCTGTGAATTCGCTGAAATTACTTTCGGCATTTGAATCATGTGCCCAATGCCTACGGAGGCAGTCACGACCATCCGACGCAATTGCGTCTGCAGATTTCATCTCTCCAAGTTGCTTGCCGCCAGATCATATGCAGTTCGCTGGCATCAGCACTGCCTAACTGTCAAGCTCACGACGTGAACATGTCGGCAGAACTCTCGGCTCGGCATTCTTGTGGTGTTGTTGCATTTGCTGCAACTACCATCTGCTGCAGCTACGACGACGACTACTACAACGAAGATCACCACCACCACCATTAAGACTGACATGAATACCAAATACTAATTAATGCAAATACTATTGCCGTAGTGTACTACATCGTTGCTGACGACCAGTAGCAGTGGCTTCGGGACGACGGCGACTGCTTCACTTCTCGAAGGCTCTCTGTGAATTCTCTCCATCATCTCTTCGGCTCGCGACCTGAGACAGCAAGACTGTGGCCGTTTCCGGACTTCCAGCGGCTGTCAGATGCTTCTTCTCCAGCTCGTTGTTGTGGCTTCTACTAGGTTTTTCTAGAAAAACCTAGTAGAATGTCTCCAAGCAAGCTGTTCCTGCAAGGAGATAAGCTGCAACAACACTTGCATCAATTGCCAAGCTTCGGCCGCCACCTTACATGATGTCCGGAAAAGTGCCCGCACCCATTCTCCTGTTCTGTTACATGTCGTGATCGGGTGTGGGCGCAGACATCAAATGCTCCGACTGAGTCTTGGACAGACTGGTCCGAGTGCTCCAAGACGTGCTCCGGTGGTACACAGCATAGGCCTCCGCTCTGCCTTGTCCCGAAGCCTACTGCCTAACGTAGCATCCCTCTTTCAGAGCATCTGGCCTTAGTTTTGGGAAGAACTCCCACCCAGTCCGAATGCTGTCCCGTCCTGAGAGCAGGTCTCGTACAATTCTCAAGCAGGTGGGCTGGCACGGAGCAGATATCTCTGGGTCGAAGAGGGCTTGTGCACCTGGCAGTGCTCTTCGCCAGGCAGAGGGCGAAGGTACCCCTTGTCCAGACGAGTTGGAGCAGACCAAGGCCCAGCACTCCAATCTGATGGTCTGATGTACTCCGGCATGAAATTGAAATCTGCCGGCAGCGCCCCTCTCCAGGAGGATATGTGTGCGCCCCTGGACTGCCCAGTGAATTGCATTTGGGGTGTCGGGCCCTCTGACCTCTGCTTTCTGGGGAGTTCCCATCCTCTACCCGAGCTCAGGACTGGCTGCCCTGGAACGGCTGTAGCGCCACTTGCGGCGAGCAGACCCCGCATGCTTTGCTTTAGCCTCCAGCACCTGAGAACTCACCCTTCTGATCGCTCTGCGTCTCAGGGGCACTCAAGATAGAACGCGGGTGGAGGCTGGGTCAGCGGATGTCTGAGCTGCGCTGAGAGTGTCCACTCTGGGGTTTTACTTCAGGTCGTGTCCGCTCAGTACGGAGGCCGCGGGGGGCCATGCACCACTGGCCATCCTGCAGAGTCGAGCCGTCGAGCTGTTTGCAGTTTGGAGTGGTGTGCTTCTGCGCACCGAGTTTTGTACATCACTAGGAGTCATCCCGCAGCGGCGTGCCGTGCAGTTGTGCTATCACTGTGGGAGGTACTGCATGCGAGGGCAGCAACCGAGAGTGGCGTGCCTGTGATGTGGAGATCTGCCCCGTGGACTGACGGCGGCTTTTTTTTCGGAAGTCGGGCTTGCTGGGTTTTTTTGGCGCATGAGTCAAAGGCACGCCGCTGCATTCTGTCCGAGCCATCCGAACATTAGAACAGTAGCATCTGCATTCGAGAGTTGACACTCGTCGATGTCAGCCCACAGCTCGTGCACACTGTCTTGCCTACGGCACGCTTGTAAAGAGCCGCTACTGCCTGCCAGGGCCCTGAACAAAAACTTGGCACACATACATCAGATGGACAGACGCTAAAATCCAGCAGAAGTTAGGACCTGGCGTGCTAAGCTCAGCCATGCTCGTGCCTGGCCACCATGTGACCGTGATGCACAGAAGTGCTTCCCCAGGCGAGCTGCCACACGGATGTTTATGTCTGCATGGGAATTTCGGAAGGTTTGCAATCCCATAAAACTTAAACTTTGCAGGCGCTGCTGTGGTGAGCAATGCCTTTCTTGCGGCTCCCTGCTATGTGGCCTTGGCCTCGTCTGGGCGTTTCAGACCTGGGATATGGAGCGGCCCACTACCATGCGGTGCCGAGGCAACTGCAGCACTTCAACCTTGTCAGACGGCCTGGTCCCCACGTCAGATGGTGACCATGCCGCCAGATCCAGGCATTGGTCTAGCCGTTCTTTTCGCAAGATGTAGAAGGCTTCGTAGGCACGCTGCAGGAATTTCGAACCAGTACCTCGAGGAGGAGGCCATACGAGGGGGTTTTGCCTGGGTTGCGGGGCTCTACAGCTCTGCCGCCAGGATATCTACAGTGCCGGTGCCGAGGCAAGACCTGGGGGTTCTAGGGGTAGGGAAAGAGGTCACCGGTCAGGTTCGAGAGCCGAGAGCTTCAAAACTGAGGCGAGATCCGAAGGAGTGCGTTCATAGCTTGGCCGCCGGCTGTGAAGAGAAAATCGCGAGAAGCCTTCCGGGCTCTGCATAGGCTCCGTTCGAACGGACGGGGGTGCTTGCAAATACTGTTTGTGGTGGATCCCCCGCCTCCCTTTGCCAGGAAGATTTGATTGAATGTAATTGGATTGTCTTTTGGGTTGGCTGCTTGCGGACATGCTGGCAAGGTGGAGTTTGGCAACTTCCGCTTCCGCTGCGCTGACGTCCTTGGTCGGGGCTCCTACGGCGAGGTCTGGCGAGCACAGGCCAGGCCACGGCTGCCGCACCGCACCGCGTGAGGAGAGCTTGGACTCGCACAGGTGCTCAGCGCCAAGGGTCGCTCGGATCCTTCCGAAGTGGCACTCAAGGAGGTCCTGTGCCGCAGCCAGAGTGAGCTACGGCAGGCCCGCCGTCCCAAAAACGCAAACCAGCTTCCGGGGTCCCTAAGCACGAAAGCAGGCGTTGGTTTTGACAAGCGGAGAACCGAAGAGTCAGCAAGTCGAGACGTTGTCGAGTTTTCGGCTTTTCGTGGTTTCCTGCGCGTCTCGCACTCTTCGGTGCGTTTTGTCGTTTTTTGTCCGGCTTGTCGACTGTTCGCGTTTGTCTGCGCTCCGCATTTTTTCTGAGCTTTTCGAACTGCTCGGTAGTTGTGTGGAGGCCCGTCCTGGTGGACCTGGAAATCGCCCGACGGTGTCGCAATGTTGAGTTGCAAGGTTTCTTTGTTTTTTGTGCAGAGTCGGGCAGAATGAGGACGTTGTCGCACGTTGTGCGTCGGGGCGAGTTTGAGTGGAGTTACCAGGCCGGGCTTTGGGTTTCAATTGCGAAGATTTTTAATCATGGAGTTGCAACAGCATGGAAGTTAACATGCAATGGTGCAACGCGTCCCATGGAGCAGAATTTTTTCTAGGGCCGGGGAGGCCAGCGTCCCCAGCAAAAGTGAAGGGCGCGTTGAGACTGTGTTGTCAGGCAGTGATGCTTTACTCACGCTTGTTGTTGTTGGGGGACACCGCTCGCTTGTCGTCCGGTTAGGTAAGGCTGGAGGCTTCGAGGCGTGTCGAGGCCCGTTCGAGACTTGTGAAATCCGTGGCTTCAGCCTCCCAAGTTGTTTCTAAATCATTAATATCACGGAAAGCTGGATGGATTTTGCGGCCCTGTTTCTGGGGCAAGACGGACCCATTTTGGGGGCTTCAAATCTGAGCCTTGACAACCGCCTGGATCTCGTCGGCTGTGCGCATGCCAAGGTTGAATTGCGCAGCGCGCAATTATTTGGGGTTTGTCTGAAGCTGCGTGCTCGCCTTTACATGGTGTGGCCGGGTGGAACTACAACTGTTCTCGCGTTTCTTCTCCAGCTTTTTAGGTAGCTCAGCCAGTTTCAGGGGCAGGCCGGAGCCAGCAGCGGCAGCAGTCGTCGTGGCGACAGTTTTCAGCAGAAACGAGCTTGATGGCAAACTCCGCTGAATTTCAAATCATTTCGGGTCCGCCCAATCCACCAACATGCAGCCAGAACATAGGCACTTTGTCAAGGGTGCTGTTTCAATGCTTTGACAGCTTGGATCTTTTCTCTCCACAACAGAAAAGTAGTCGATGCATATGGAACTTGGTTTGTTGTGGTCTTTGGAGCCGCCCAGTTGCATTTTGAAGTCAGTGTGTGTTTTTCATCTTGGTTTTTCAGAGCACCCAGAATCCGTAAACAAGAACACGGGGACTTTCAGGCCATCTTCGAGGTGCAGGTCCTCATGGCCTTGGAGCAAGCCGCATCGCCTCACCGACTGAAGCTGCGGGTTCCACGCTGCATCGCCTACAAGGAGCCTGGGAAAGGAAAGCCTTTGATTCCCGGATGTGGCGGCTCTGCGGCACGGCAGGCGGGAAGGTCAGACGCCCTGGCCCGGTGTCAGGTGAACGTCTGTTCTGGTGGCTGGAAGGTGCGGACTGCGATGACGCTGGTGCCCGGACAGTCTCTGGACTACTTTTTGAGGCCGAAGTGTCCAAGAATTATTTCACCCAAAAATAAAAAAAAACCTGATCAGGCAGAAGCCTCCTCCCGGCTGCACCGTTTCGACCGGTTTGCGAAGAGCGCTGAGCCGCTCGGTCCAGTTAGGGAAGGGCTCAGGCCGTGGGCCTGTAGGGCGAGGCTTCGAAATGGGGAAAGGGCGAAGGGCCTAGTAGCCTAGCCGAGCTGAGAGGCTTGGTGTCTTGCCTCTTGCGGGACATCGGCCCGGCCCTCCAACTGCTGGGCCCGATTGCTTGGCACCGGGAGCCTTGGAGGCATCGCTGGGCGGCCTCGGCCTCGGCCTTGGCCCTACTGCCCTGCTGTCACAGCCGAGGACGTGAATTCTCACAACATTCTCATCGATGCTGCCGATGCCGATTCCAACATCGCGGCCGCTTCCTTCTGGCTCATCGATTTTGGCTTGGCGGTAGACTCCCAAAGCTGGGTCTCGGAGCAGGGTAGATGGAGGACCCAACATGGGCCGTAAAGCCGCACGCACCATCGAGCATGAAACGATGATGAAGCATTTCTGCAGGACAGAGTATATCGGAGGCGACAGCCGATACTGGCCACCCAGTTCCTGGATCATGCACCTTGTGGGTCCGGAGGGCTTCGACCACCGTCCGGATCTCTGCGACCAATACCAGCCCGGGGCCCAATGAAGGACGAGACAGACCTAGACTCCTAGACGAGCCACTGGGCCACGACGACCCCGAGGCGTCGTCTCGACATCCACGGTTTGGGCGTCACGGCCCTGGAGCCTTGGCCAGTCGAAAAGATAAAAGTTGTGTGCTCTCGAATGCAAGCAAGAAGCCGTGGGGGTGGAGACATTCGTTTTACTGGGATTTGTTATGAAGGAGGCCGAGATGGAAGATCTAAGTGCCGCGCCTCATGCGGTGATGAACAGCATGTTCACCGCTTCAGTTGGCATGTGCTACAACGGTGATTGATGGCCTGTCGCTTTACGATGCGGGAAACTGAGTGCCGAACTACAACCTGGAAGCCAGAATGACTTCGGAACCCGAAGATTAGGACCCACTGAGCCACTTTAAAACAACTCGAAGGGGCTGCCAGGAGTTGCTTTGCACGGTGGCCATGGCCTGCCCATTGGCCGATGAGGCCGAGGACTGACTTGACGACTGCTCACCACAGCCTGAGCCTTGAAGATTCGCCGCGTCTTGTGAGGAGCAGGCGCTGCAGCCATGGGCTCCGATCTTCCACGCCTGGACTTGCTACCGCGAGGTGCGACAAAATGGCAATTGGGACATCTTAGCCTCCTGTTGTCCGGAGACTGAGCTCTCAAGGCAGTTTGGCAATGGTGGGCGACTGTTTATGCCGTCTTCTCCGTTGGTGGAGATCTTGCCCCTGTGCAAGCACAGCTCGTCGAGGTGGGTTTTGCCGTAGGGTGATGTCCAGCAGAACATGATATTGAGCCGTGCATGCTCAGAGCGCTGCGGTTCCTCCGCCAATGTCGCACAGGAGAGAATCGTGGAGCAGCTGCTGCTTCTCCTGACACGCATCCGCATTGCCCTGCGAAGCTGTGCCGCGCAGCTCGCAGACTCGCAACAAGCACGACTTCTGCAAATGATTGCTGACATGCTTGACGAAGGGCATCTTGATGGCATGCATCAAGCGACAATTTTCGGGTTCATCACATACTCGTACCATCCGGAAGTAGTCGTACCCATGAGGAAAGCCTTCGAACTGCGCGACATCCAGAGGCAGAGCTTTTCTTGCGAGTTTGGTGTTGCATTGCTGTGTCACTGGCATGGCACGTCAGGCTCGTCGGCGGCCCGAAGATCGAGTGCCCCCGTCGGAGCAGTTCCATGGTCTCGAAGGAGAAAAAGGCGGAACAGCCGCAGCCGCAGCGCTTCTGCAGCGTCCCGACAAAGGGCCGCCAGGCCCGGTGCCGCGCCATGCAATCGTCGAGTTTGCGGGGATGGGCCCCTTGGCCCTAGCTTGCATCAGGCAAGAAACGGCACTGCCGTCGTGGCAACCATGGCCGCCTGCCCAGTTTTGAAGTCAGTTGGAGAGGTGAGCGGCAGTTGGTTTGGACCCAGGCTGGCTTAGAAAAGTCGAGACGCGCCAACGCCAACGGTCAGGATGTTCTGGGCCAAAGCTCCCGCAACACTCCGGCATCCCAAATCAGGAGCGGCGAGAGTAGCAGATCGGAGCAGGGAGTCAAGGGCAGCCCTCGTGAAGCCACAGGACCCCGGTAACGGACACTGTGGCCAGCTGGCAATCTCAAGCTGATGCAGTGATGGCCCGAATGGCCAGTTCAGAACTGAGACTAACAAGGGGCATGAGACTGCACACCTCCATGAACCCCTGCGCCTCCTTTCCTTGCGCCAAGGTCTCAAATCCCGCTTCCAGGCGCCGAACGGCGCGAAGGCCCTCGACCAGAAGCTGGCGCAGTTCCGACGGAGCACCGTGCAGAAGGCCGGGCCACGGAAAGCCGCTCAGCCGCTCAGCCGCTCCCCGCTGACTTCGGAGGCCAAGCAGCGGCTCCAGTGCCTTGCAGCGACGACACTGCGAGCAGAGACGTAGAGGCTCCTGCGTCTCACGGACCTTCAGCCGCCTCTGCCCTCAGCTGTACTTCCTGCGTCTTTTCCTTCCAGGACTGAGCATAGCCGGTTCAGATGGAGCCAGTTGGCTCTCAAGTGTCTTTCAAGATAATGCCGCTAGCCGTGCTGGAACCTGTACAGAACGCGGTCGGCTCATCCTCGCTCCAAACATACCGTTGAGACAGAAGTGGAAGAGGGACAGCATGGCTGCAGGGTGATCTGATGCAGCGTCGTCCAGCATGGGCAGCGATTGTACTCTAAAGGATGAAGTCTGTCGCGGTGCCTGCTCACCGATGGAGGCAGGAACGTTGCATTAATTCGTAATGACAGGTTCGAAGCGATGCCGAGCTTCGGAGCCTTGCAAGTTGATTTTATGGGAAGCTACGAGGCTTCGTTGCGACTCGAAAGATTTGTAGTGTGGGCTGTCTGCTCGGCCTTTCCGGAGTCCCTTAAGAAGGTCCACAACTACTAGTCACTGTCAGCGGCCGTAGTCGCTGTGGTAGAAGCAGCAGCTGCAGGAGGAGTAGAGGAGTCAAAGCAGGAGCTGGAGTTGGAGCTAGAGTCGGAGTGGGAGTGGCAACAGCAGCAGCAGAAGATGGAGTAGTGGTGGCAGCAGTAGTCGTAGTCGTCGTCGTTGTCGTCGTCGTCGGCACCCACCACCACCACCACCGCCGCCGCCGGCGCCGTCGCCGTCACCACCACCACCACCACCACCACCACCACCACCACCACCACCACCAGTACCACCACCACCACCACCACCACCACCACCACCACCACCAGTATCACCACCACCACCAGCATCACCAGCATCACCAGCACCACCAGCACCAGCAGATACCAGCAGCACCACTCGGCTGCCATCAGTAGCAGTAGGATTAGAAACTGATTAGTGCAGCAAGCAGAAGTTGCTTCGAGCAGACGAATTGATGCGCAGGACTGCCAGTGGGGCCCGTGGCGCTCTCAGATCATGTTTGGGGCCGGAGCTTGGACTATGACTGGCACCATGCTATTATAGATCTCTGCAGCTTCCGTCCTTAAGGTTAATAAATGGGACGGGGCTTTCGCGTGGTACGTAGTCGTTTGCTTTCACTTTTTGGTGTTTAGGGGTTGAAGGGCCTTGAGGTTGCTGGTCTCTGAGGCTCGAGTCAGAAGCTTTTCAAGACAGTATTGTCAAACTACAGAGTGTCACTGCCCTGTCGAAGCCTGCAACCCACGCATCGGAATCCATGCCAGCTGCTTCTCAGTTGGAGTGCCTGGGGCAACTGCAGCGCCACCTGCGACAGTGGCTTCCAGTTTCGCAACAGGCTCGTTCTCTGTGTGTCTTGCTGTGTCATTGAGGCCAGCATTGCAAGCCCTCGGGTTTGCCACAGGTCAGGATTTGGGCTGGCTTACCGCCGGGCAGAAGCCATGGAAATGCCACGGGAGAACTCGGGTAAATGCGGGAGGTGGCCGAAAGGGTTTGGTCTGCGGGTGCAAACGGAGCAACCATTCATGCGAAGAGTAAAACGCGGCTCAGCAAAGCACACCGCCGACTCTGGCGATGTGCTCCCGATTCAAAGCAGTCGCAAAAGCGGCCACGAGGGTCAACGGAGCGTCAACGGTCAACGAAAGCTCAGTTGTGCTTTTTAGCAACATGCGGAGTCACCTCGGCGACTTGAGATGGTTGGGATTGACAAGCAAAGTGGTAGATGGCAGGGCCGGGATTGAGAGATTCGCGTTCCTGTGCGCCAAAGCCCTGTCTTTGTCAGGTCCGTTCTTGTTGAGAAGGTGGGAGAAGGTGCTGATTGCGATGGACATTCGGAGGACCAGCTGATGGAAAGAGCGCATCTGTCCGCATCTGTATCTCCTGCAACAACTGAAACGGCTCACGCGCAGGAGTCCGAGCCCTGCGCTCAACAAGGCAGGGATTTGCCATGGCCTCCGACATGGGCACGCCATGGCACGCCTCGCTAGCGTATCTGTGCAGGTTGCCCGAGGGACTGTGTCCTCCACGCCCGCGGCTTAAGAGAGGGGTGAGGTCTGCCTCCGTGGAAGGAGTTGTGCATGTCCGAAGCGCGCTTCGAGGATTGGGAGCCGTGGTCCGACTGCTCCCACACCTGTGGGCCCCTTGGCAGGCGGAAGCGGATCAGGCCGGACCTGCTCCGTGATCTGCGATCTGTGATGCTCTTTGCGCTCGCAGGGATGCAGAGTCGGAGATCGAAGGCGGCAGGCCTCGACGTTCTTTCTGACGTTCTCGGAAACACGCTCTGTCGGGTTTTGGGCTAAGAGGCTCGCATGCCAGCCTGGACTCGGGTTCCTATAAGACATGACATGAACTCCAAAGGGACAACTTCGAGCTTGCGGGTCCCGGGCCGCAGGCCTTGCAATGAGTCGAACGAGGAGTACGAGGCGTGACCCCCAGCCCTGCAGTTCAGAGCCTTTCTGCATCCCCAGAACGAGCGAAAGTATAGTTTCTGCTCGATGAAGCTACTTCCAGCCCAACTGAGTGTCTTTGATCTTCCAACTTCTGCTTTTGAGAGGCTTGCGGCCTTGAAGGTTGCCCTCGCAACTGCATCTGGGGTGATTGGGCCGGGGCCTCGTCAGAACCACACCAACATTCAGCTAGAAAAGCTTGTGCGCGGCAACGCTGAACATCCGACTTTTCTACACAGCTCAGGGCGGCTGGAGCAATTGCACACAGAGCTGTGGCAAAGGCGCACGGGTGGAAGACAAAAGAGTCCTGTCCCCGAGTGTCTTGTAGATCTTCTGGAGCCTTCCAGAGTAGCTGCATCACAGCATTGTTCCCGATGCCAGGCATTGCATTCCGGAACAGGATCCAGCTGGTGGTGGTGGCGTGCGGCATGTTCCACAAGGGCATGTCGTCGCCACATCGGGAATGTAAGGTCAACGACACTGAATGAAGCAATTGCCAGGCTGCCTATGGTGGAAACTGCGTGGGCAGTGCTACGCAGACAGAATACTGCAACGATGTGTGTTTGCCCAAGTGGGCACAGGGCGTGTCAAGGAGCCGACGGGTAACCTCTGAAGACGTCTCCGCATCTGCCGCAATCTGCCGCCTGCGTTTGTTGAGGCCTTGCCCTGAGGATTGCAGCTGGCCGGGGGCTCGGGGAGCGCTTGCAGTAACCCTCTCGGCACGGAGCGCGACACGGATTGAAGAGAGACCGCGCTCTTCCGCCAGGAACGATTGGGGCGAGTGGACGTCGTGTACGCAATCCTGCGGAGGAGATGTCACCGGGCTGCGGCCTCAGGCCTTCGGGCTCGAGCGCCAACCCTTTAAGCCACATCTGCTCCGCACTCCTTGACGGATACCCCTTCGTGCCACTCAGGACAAAGTCGCGGCTTCGCACGAAATCAGGGCCCTTCAATGCCGGGCAGGCCTGGAGTTGCCATGGTGATCCGTGGTGCGGTGTTGAAAGGTTTTTACCGCGCTTTCGGGTTCAGGAGTGTGTTGGCTTCCCCACGGAGACGGCCGCGTGCAATGCACCTGGCGGTTGCTCTGTCAATTGCACCTGGGAGGACGGGTTCAGCCGCGGACGTGACTTTTAGCAGCACAGGATGTCAGTGTGACAGGACTGGAACGAGTGGACGGCTTGCTCCAGGACTCCAGGTTGCTTCCTCATGCCATCAACCCACCTTACACTGCGTTGTCAGGACCTGCAGCAAGGGCACACGCACTCGACTCCGCTTCGTGGACACCGAGGCCGAGTAGCCAGCATGCACGCCGGGGCAGGCTTACAGATTACAGCATGTGTGTCAGCTTGATCCACTGCCTTGACAGAGTTTTACTGCAGCCGACCGAACCCGGCCCAAGTTCCACAAGGTTGAGACTAGCAGAAGGCATATTGTAGCCGAAGTTGCAGATCTATCCATTCATGGTCCCCTCCACAGCCACGTCGGCTACGTTCGGCCTGCGTTCCCGAGCTCCACGAGAGGAGGTGTTGCTTGCACTGCTTCTGAGTCTCTTCAGCAGGCTTCGAGTTATTGCGAGGAGCGCCTGCGTATGTGCACTTCGATTCTCAACAACTGCGGACGAAGTTCTGATTGGCAGCAAGCGCTGTGGCTGCTGGAGGCTGCTTGGTGCTCCTGCAATTTCTTGCGCGCCTGGCACTTCATGCGCAGGAGATGCCGCTCCATGAACTGCGCCGCAATGCCTTCAGCGCCTTTGCTTTCCGTGTGAGTCTGCTCCAGGCATGCGAAACGCACGCTGTGTGTGCAGATGCTGTGGCCGCTGCGCACGGAGCCGAGGCTGCAGCTCCTCCATCACGAGCTGCGCACGGGCGCAGCGGTGGCCCTGGTGATCCTCGGAACGCGCAAAAGATTTAAATGTAAATGAGAAGAACCGTCGGAGAAGACATCGGATCCTGGATTCGCGAGGTCTGGAGCAGCTCCTGCAGATGCAGTTCCTTGGTGGAAATGTGGCGACTTCATGCGACTTCACTGGGCGGCCGGTCTTGTCCTAGACTCTGAGATTCTGTGAGGCAGGCTTCTCAGCGGCTAGATGATGTGAGCCTCGGCGCAGCTCTGCGTGGATGCCGCGGTGGTGCCTGGCCGGCGGCGCTGGTATTGCTGGCAGGCACTCACAGGCCATGTTCGGGCTGCGAGGGTAAAGCCCCAACCTGCACAGCCAGCTTTCAGGTCACACCCCGAATGTGGTAGGCTACAATGCGGCCAGGGACCCAGTTGGCAACTGCTGTAATACGTTCAATACGTCATTCACGTTTTGCAGTTCCCGGGGTGTGTCTTCAACGCATAGACCAGGCATAGACGTGCTGAGGCAGTGACAGCGTGCGGGGTTGACAGCCAATGGCAGATTGCATTTGGTATTCTGGAATGGATGAAACGCCGGTCTATCCAGACCGATCTTTGGAGCCCCGTGGCGAGTTTACGTGGGATTTGGAACAGTGAAGTGTTACTCCGGCTGCTGCCAGCAGATGTCCTCACTGCAGCTGCATCATCTCTGACCGATACCTGCAATCGCAGCTTCGTTGGCCCAGCTTCCAGGCTACAATGCCTTGATCAATGCTGTTGAAGTGGCCGCGCATTGGGAGTTGGCGCTGCAGCTGCTGGAAGAGGCCAGAAGCATTCCTGTTTGGCCTTTTTTGGGGCCACTGGTTTCCTAACGTTTCCTATCTGCAGAGCTTCACCTGGCAAGTGGAAGCCCTTGCTCTCCTTCCAGAGGCTGAGCAGCTTCAACTTGCACCGGATTGCTTCTCCTTTGGTTCCTGCATCAGCTCCTGTGAAGCTAGTGGAGAGTGGCAGGTGGCTCCTTGGCTTTGGTCGGGCTACCTAGTCCACGGAGCTGTTCCTATCCCCTTTGCCTCAGATGCGAATCGATCCAAGGCACTGCACTTGCTCGCGCAGATGGAGCTGCAAGGCAGAAATGCTGTTAAGTCTGGTGTGCGATGTTCCTTTCTTCTTGCGAGGCCTACTTCTTCAGGAGGTACCCTGCAACGCGGCGATCAGTGTCTGCGCCACAGGCACGGGAGTGTTGCCTAAGACAGAGCAAGCTGTTCGTCTGTTGGTCGATGTCGAAGTTGTCCCTTCAACCGGGCTTGGTTTACCTGATTCCTTCCCTCACATACCTCTGGAGCATCCGCAAGCGTAAGTTCCATCTTGGAACGGTCGTGCTTGTGCAGCATGGGATCAGTCAAGAGCGGAGTTACGATCAGGTCAGCAATGGCAGCATGCCGTGGCGGTGCTGCACGACATGAGTAAGAAAAGGCTACAGCTGCTTGGCTGGTAGAGCATGCGATTTGGCGCCGCTCTTTCGGCCGGCTCCGAACCGGACTTCGAAAACGAAACAGGGAGGGCAGCGGAGTGAATGATAGCCGCAGTGCGGCGGCCGAGTGCCGTAGAAAGGTCTTCTCAATGTGCCCAGGATTGACATCATTGGTGTTAATGCAGCTATCAACGCCTGCGCCCGCAGTGGCTAGAATGCATTCAAGCTTTTCTGGCCTTTATGCTCTTGTTGCGTCTCCCCGCTCCAGGTGCACGATGGGAGGAAGCGCTGTCTCTCGTGCGCTCCGTCTATTCGCTGCGACTCCAGCGCACAGTGGTCAGTGACCTGTCTTAACGTGGTATAGCACCGCAGCATGACTGTCGCACCTGCAAGGGCGCCCTTTCACAGTCAATAACCTTGCTCGCGAAGTTGTCCATGACTTTATGGTCGAAAGCCGTTGTGATCCGTTGTGGCCATTGGCGATGAAATCGTAGACCGAAGGCTCATCGCCGTCGCTGAGGTTGCAATGCGGCGATGACAGCATGTGAGAAGAGTGGCGAATGGCAGCTCGCTCTCGCTTTGCTCCAAGAGATGCCTGGGCCCCGGCGAGTGCGAGCACGTCCTTTCCGGCCCAGCGTATCAGTGTCTCCTGCGCCCCAGGCAGCAAACGTTGACGGAGCCGACGGTGATCAGCTTTGGTGCAGTCTCTCGGCCTTTTCGAAGGCTGACGTCATGCCGCGATGCGGAAGAATGTCGGGACGCCGAGGCCATCAGCGCCTGCCAGAAGGGGTTGCAATGGGATGCCGCCCTGACCCTCCTCAGCCGCATCGGGGAGATGGAGCTGCAAGCCAATGAGATCTGCTTTTGCGCTGCGATGACAGCTTGTGCAGCAGCTTGGTCTTGCCGCAGCTTTTCACGTTGTTTCTTGTGAGTCCACCTTTTTTTTGATGTTGTTGATGAAAGTTGATTGTGTCTCCGACCCTTGGTGATCACGATTCAGAGAAGGCTTCCATGGCTTCTTGGCTTCACGCATTCCCTAGCTTCGTGGCTTCTCCTGGCTTTCTCGTTTTTCGGGGTAAGACAAGTAAGTATTAGAGTGATGTGTATCGGTACGCTTTTCAGTCTGTGTGATTGACAATGGAAGGGCATGCGAGGCCTTGCGAGGCTTGACAGGTTCGACGGTCTTCAAGTCCTTCGCAAGCCAGGAAGGTGTTCCGAGGGGAAGGGCACATGCGGTTCCGGTCTCCGCCTCTTACAATGTTAAGTAGAGCGAATCGACTGGATGCCAACGATCCACATCACCGCCTCCGATGCTGATTGAAGGGTTCCCTTCTTGACAGGATTTCCAGTGCAGCGAGTTTAATTATGCGAGTACCCATCGCAAGTTATCAGAAGGTCTTCAACGGCTCCAGAGGGTTTTCAGCATGTTTCCAGCGCTAGGTTTTCTGACGGCTCGATGTCGTCAAAAACTTCAGCAGGACCATACTCGCGTGGAAACATGTTAAAGGCCAACTGGGATGCTGTCTTGAGCAGAATCGTCCAAGAGTTTTTTGCAATGTTTGTTAATTGAGGCTTTGCAAGGCTATGAAAAGGAAACCAGACCGAAAACACCATGGCCATTGCGAATCTCCGAAACGCTTTCAGGAAGTTTGGCCCTCAGTTTGGCCGTTCCTTTTAAACTCCATTCTTCGGTGGCAACCTGAGGCTGCTGGTCAGTGGAGAAGGAGTATGGACATCATTGATGCGATGCTGGACGCAGGCATTGGCGCTGGCTTCGTTGCACATACACTATAAACAAAACATGTTCGAATGGCAGGCATTGATGGCTTCCATGGTGCTGATTACGATCACAGTTTTCAGGCGGTCCTGATGACATTCCGATGAAAGAGCCCGACCGCCAAAACCATTGCCTGCACGACAGGCCGGAAGTTCTGTCGACTGCTTCAAGCACTCCGTCTTGACGCTGCTGTTGCAACGTTTGTCTTCAGTTGAAGCGCCGTTCACCTATGTTGCTGCCAAGCAGCAACGAATGTGTGTTTTTCTTGCCGAGACACATGTGAACAGAGTGTGCGGTTTGTGGCAACTGAGGACACACACGGAGGATGGGGCTTGTACAACTTGACCCACGATACTGACGCGTACCACAACTCTGAATTTGGTGTTGCGCAGCTCCTTGTCGAAGCTGTGTTAGCAGCATCGTCGACGCTGTGCGAGCAGAGCAGTGTGATTTGATTGGTTTCGTGGTGCTCGTGGTCACTGGTTAGTCACTGTCGTGGTCGGATTCCCGAGCTTCGTTATCTTTGTCATGGCAGTTCTTGCGACCTGCCGGTGTCTTGAGACAAAATGTTCAGCTCCGCAGACACTGGTGAAAAGGCGAGTGAGGCTTTCAACAGAGAATGCTGCAAAAAACAAGGCAACTGAACAGCAAACGCCTTCCGCTGTTTTCTGACGAACTGTTTTCTTCTACGCAGCCCACGAATTACGCGGAGCACAGCAGACGAGTGTCTCGACGGGATGTTTGGTTATCATTCATCCAAGCACTTCCTTAGTCTCCTCATGTCTTCTTGTCCTTGTCGCTTGCCTCCATTCCTCAGGCTGGATGCAGCTGAGCAGCTCCACCCAACCATCCAGGCGGAGAAACCGGGCTTTTGCCTCGCATCGGGCTTCTAGCTGATGCAGTCAGACAGGTTGTCATTGCATGACCCAAGGTTGCAACACGGGGTGCTCGCATGTCCTCCTGCAGGCTTATCTCGAGAATTCGCACAGGCTGCACAGCTCTGGCGGCTCCCAGTCGCTTGGTGTTCATTCTGGCCACAAAAAAAGTGTACTCTTTAGCCTCGCAGCCTCGCAGGTTGGGGCCTCCAAGGCTCTACCTGGGCTCGCCCTTGCTGGCACAGCAGTGGTTGCGCCCTCAGGCCGGGCACATCCGGGCACCGAGGGCCCACCGAAAAACGCGAGTCCTCAAGAAGTGCGCACCTCTGCCCGCAAACAGGATCGAGGCATCTTTTTGGAGATGGCTCCCAGCGTGCATGCCAAGCTTCTTCAACACCAGAAGATGCTTGATCCCAGCGGCGTGTCAAACGCCGAAGTCCTCCGAGCCAACTCCTACTGGTGGCCCCTTCCTGAGGAAGGTGCTTTTCCTTATCGCAAACGGCAGGCCATACTGCGAGCGTTGTCAAACGCAGCACGACCATGTCGAAGCTGGCAAGGTTGCTGCGGGCTGCCCGACCCGAGACTTTCAGCCAAAGGGGGTTGGTCCTGGTGGATCCACCGTACGAGCCGTACCAGTCCTTTATGGCATGGAACCTCCGCTTGCTGCAGTTCCTGGAGTCCAAATGGCCCAGTGCTTGTGTCAGATGCCCAGTGCCACGAAGCTCGCAATGCCGTGCCAATACCGTGCCAATGCGGGAAGCGCCTCGCCAGGTGGCTGTGTGGTATCCCTGCCTCGACGGACCGCAGCTTCGAAATCTCTACCAGGGCCTCAGTGGTCTCGGGATGGGCCATGTGCTGGTGGTGGAGTTTGGGTGCCCTTCCAGCACATACTGATACTGACTAGACTATTCTTCTTGCTTTTCCCTCTCACGCTCAAGTTGAGATGAAGGTTCCGAGACTCATCGGCCGACTCCCTCCAAAATTCAGGCCCGGTCTCAGGGCTCCTGGATGCACCTTAGCTCTTTGTTGCGACGAGAGAACTGAGATCCGGCTGCTGTTGTCCCCTTCTTTACAGTCTCGTGTGTGCTTTGCGGCAGGCTTCCTCATCCAGAACCCTCCCGAGCACACGGTCGAGCACTTGCGCGAGTTGCTTCCAGCATTGGGTGCTGGGGCTGCAATATCTATGCCGCCTTTTGCAAGACAAAGTTTGCTTTTCCTGGTTTAGATCGGTCTAGATGGTTTTGCAGGTTGCACAGCTTTTCTGCACGAATTTTCTGCTTTGGACAGGGCGGGCGATGGGAGCCTCGGCTGCTTGGCACGCAGTAGGTCCAGAGGCTACGCCTTCGGTTGAGAACACATTTGCCCCTGGAGCAAGGCTGCCATCCGTGCACGAATCTTCTGGGCGAAAGACTGGGTGGCCGAAAAAGTAAGCTGCGCCCTGTTGCCAAGATGCTGCATCACTTTCTATCCTGCTTTAGGAGAGAGCATGTGCAGGGCAATTGCCACTGACGGAGCCCAAAACTCCGGTCAGGCCTACGGCCCCTTGGGCCTGAATTGCACCGGGGATCCATCGGAAGAGGACCTCCGCCTGTCCGACCTCATGCTTCTAGCCAGGGCTTCCTTGCGGTAGCTCCGGGCTGTAGTCCTGACTCACTCTGCCCTGTCGTTGTGTTCCGGGATGGCCTAGGACCTGACAAAGTGCTCCAGCTAGGGTTCACTACAAGCCCAGCCACACCCTGTGAGGGAAACATGTCACACGCGCGCCGGTGGGTGGGTCACTGACGGCGATCCATTGCACTGTACAAGTCAATCCGTGGAAAAAAGCACCCGACAGCGGATTGTCTGGACTTGAAATTGTGCAGGAACTTTGCGACACAGAGCTACCCTGCCCAATCGCAGCTTTGGTGCACTGGAGCTCGAGGAGAGGCAGAGAGCATCAAGAAACCGAGGATTGCCAGTTCGAGGACTGGGGCGACTGGGGCAAATGCCAGCTCCAACCCTGTGGCCCAGCGCCTTTGCTTACATTCCTCACTCCCCCGAGCCTCAGCGCTGGCAGCGCTGCACTGCACCGTGCTGTCCGTGCTGTCGGCCTAAGGCCCAGCGCCTGCGCAGCCGCGAGAGGGGCTCGGCGCAGTTCGGCTCCGGCCTCACTTCCGGAAGCCGGAGGGCTGCGCGAAAATCGCAGACCTGAGCTCTGAGGTGGCGCCCCGTGCTTAGGCAATCTCAGCGAGGTGGAGGATCGGGACATGCGGGACATGACATTGACGTGCCTCGCGAGTTCTCGGAGCTGATGCATTCTTTCCATTCGGTACTCTGCAGGATTGCGAGATTCCCGGAGCACCGCCCGTGCCTCCCTGCAATGTGACAGTCCCCTTCTCTCCTGAACTTTTGCAGCAAGTGGACGGACGGGTTCTTAAATTGCGCTGTTTCAGCCTCGCTTCATGCCCTCAGGAAAGCAACAAAACCTCGGAGCCGGAGGGAGACGAATCCACAGCTCCTTGGTGCATCTCAGTGCAGAAAACAGGAGACGCGGTTCGCAAGCTTCGGCACGCTAGGTGACGAAGCCACCTGCCGGATCGGCGGAGGCGCCGTGGGCATGAGTCCAAGTCCCTGACGTGATGAAAGGAGTGCTGAACCGGCCCCTCCAGGTGAATCCACCGAAGCCTCCTCTGGAGGCAGCTGTCGTCGCCGCTAAAGAAGCGGCGCAGCAGAATGCCACTCCTGACGAGCAGGTGCTTTCGCTGTCGCAGGATGTCGGAGGTGCGTGGTGCACGGTGCATGTCAGGCGGCTGCAGCAGGGCAGGCGGCAGCTGCGGCACCTGGGGGCAACCCGACCGTGGCAGCTGAGGCAGCACAAAAAGCTGCCGAGGCAGCGGGCGAGAGCCCAACCAAGCAGGTGGAGATGGCAGTTCAGGCGGCGGCAAGCGCTGCTGCCCGTTCCAGTGGAGGCAATGCCACCAAGGCGAGCACCGAGGCTGCGAAAGCAGCCACGAAGGTGGCCGCAGCATCAAATCTGACCCAGGCGGAGGAAGCGGTAATCATTGCAAGCGCTGCCCGGGAGTCCGCCTCAGAGTCGGGCGCCGATGTGGAGTCTGTGGGCAAGGCAGCTGCTGCGTCGGCGAAGGCAGAGGGCGCAACACCCGAAGAGCAAGCGGCAGCTGCAGCTGTTGCCGCATCGGATGCTGCGAAGAAGCAGGGCGCCAATGCAACACAGGCTGCCGAAGTCGCCATTGCTGCAGAACCGCGGCAGCAATCGGCCCCACATGCCAGTGTGCTGTGGATGTTGCACGGCTCTGAGTGCAAGACGCACCGACCAGCTTTCCTATCTGAGGCCAAAGCCGCTGGAGCCACGCCGCAGGACTGCGTTACCTGCTCTTTGCTGACGAGTCTAGCTACAGTACATCTAGCTACCATGGCGCATGTCTCGCCGTCATCTCTTGGAGGCCAGTTGCAGCTTGTAGTTCTGTATCGGCAAGGAGCGTTTCCCCTTCCCCTTGCAGCAGGAACAAGCTTCTGCCGCCTCTGTGGCCTACACCCGCGCTGGTGGCAACGAGACACTGGACCCTGCGACAATCCGCGTGTAGATGGCCTCCCCCGCGGTTGGCGTAACGCTTCTCCATCACGGGTCCAACGTCAGCAGGCAGCTTGTACAAACCTTCCGTGCTCTGAGTGTCAGGATACCGGAAGCTTCGGGTTGCCACCCGCTGTGCACCGACCGTTGGGAGCCTGATCCGGGGGTTCTCAGGGCTTCGTTCAAGGGTCCTATTGCCGAGGGTTGTCTCCGAGAAGGAAGCCGAAGAGATCGCGGAGAAGGACGTCACTTATCCCGGACATGTCAGACTCAGACGATCTCACCCGCCCAGTGTGACTTTGAGTTTGTGAGTTCTGCCTTTTCTAGCGTTGTTCATACCATCCCCATCTCTACCTCCTTCACGTTGAGGCTACTTCCGAAGCATGTTCCCTTTACGGAATGAGCTGCTTCGCACTCGTGCACTTGCACTCCCTAGCAGGAACCCGAGGCTGTCGAGGGCAGTGAAGTGCTGGAGGCGCTCGAGCGTGGTGTGGGTGTTCAATTTTAAAGCCGTCCGTTTTTTGGAAGGTTTTCCTCGGGTATGGCGAAGCTGTTTGTTTCAGGTTCAGGGTCCATGGAGGCTTCTGGCACCCGAGACCTGGGACGGAGGTGAGCGACCCTGAAACCTTCATGCACGACGCGGCAGCTCTCGAGGCCGTTCGCGTGCGGTGCTGAGCTGTGGAGGGCCTGAAGACGGCAATGCAAAGCCCGGGAGCGCTGAGGATGCCTTGGCTGAAGAGCTTGGCGTCGACCCGGCCGGGAGCCATAAGAACCGGGTGTTTGGGGATCATGTGTGCCGCTCCGAGGATGCCATCATCGTCAAGGGTGCGGAGCCTGCATCAGCCGGCCTCCGAACTTCGACGTGTTTTATGGGCCGAGCGCTTCTATGCAGCCGGTGCTAAGGTCTCTGCGAACTCGCCATCAATGCTGGAGATGGGCCGAAAGTCTTCAGCGATGGCCAGGCAGAATCTCAACGGCAACAAAACAAGAAGAAACTTCTGTGGCGCCTTACATATCCTTACATAGAGGCCTCAGCTGCCAAAGGCTCACATATAGAAGCAGTCATGGCAGAGCGGGTCACCGTCTTGGGTGCGGGAGTGGGGGGGGGGGGCGGGGGGTGCATTGTCTAGTCTGTAACTGGTGCAGGCGACAAGCTCCTGCAAAAGGAGAAGTGAACATCACCTACGAGGTCGTGCCAAGTCGCAGCCCCAGTGAGAAACCTCGTCACCCCTTGTGTGCTGTTCAGGCGTGACCTATTCCAGCTAGTGAAGACAACCATACACCATGCTTTCCTCCATGAGGTATCAGTGGCAAAAGCGACGAAGACGTCGTCAAGGCCGTCGCCGCGCTGGCCGGGAACTTTCGAGTCATCTGATTTCCCAGATGTTATACTACCGAAAGTTGCCTGGAAGATATGAGGATGGACAAACAGCTTCCAAAGTGCACGAGAAGATCTTCGCATCCAAGAACCTTCCTTATGCAGCAGAGCCCCCAGACATTCCCAATGTCATGCCTGTTCCATGCGGCATGGGCATGGCCCAATTTTGCGCCGGAGGTCCAGGTGTCTGGTCTGGACCTCTTCGTCGAGAACAAGGCCGATGGCTATGAGTTCTCTGATTTCGTTGCGTGCCATCAAGTCTTGTGCTGCTTCGAGGAGACTGGAGCTGCGGTTCTTGAAAGCACCATCACAGGGGTGAACCAACTGAACCAACATAGCGGTGCAACTCTGCCGGCACTGGCTGCGCCTCTGGCGAGTGTCGTAGCAGTCTTCTCATGGTTCTGAGACAGGGCGGACCCCGACTTTGCGGAATAGCTTACGGGGTCGGGGGATCTTGTTTTGCTTTCTGGCAGCTTCGGCGGCATGACCCTGTCCCAGACGCATGTGCATACCAACAAGGATGCCTGCCTTTAGCACGGAAGCAGTTGCCTTGTTGAGACTTGGCTTCGCCTGTGCACATGGTGGAGGGGCTGCAGCAGAATTTGGATTTGTCAGCAGCGAAAGCTGAGCAGCAGCAAGTTGCGACAGGCTATTTCCTGCCTTAGCTGCCCTAGTGTGGTCGCCTTTGGAGATCATAACGTGACGCATCCCCACGTTTAGAAGCGTTCGACATAGAATGACTCTCCACGGGTCACATCTCGTTGTCGGAGCTCATGTGCGAGCACCTCAGTTTAAAAAGCAGCGCGCAGAGGGTGCAGAGCCATAGCCAAAACTCAGCTTTGCAGCTTTGCTTAAGCCGGCCCTTCGGCCTCTCTGAGGCAGCCTGGGCTGGGCGGATGGAGGCCGCTGTCGGGAGGCCGACTGCGAGGCAGCCGTCGGCACCCCGGCGCTTTGGCCTCCGCATACGTCCGCATGCGTCGCATACGTCGATGCGTTTTTCTCTCAGGCTTTGGCTGAAGGCCCTTTCCTCAGCGCAGCGCAGCGCAGCGGAGATCGGCTCGGAAGCTGGTTCCCTTCACGAGGTGGACAGAGCGGTCCAGCGGGCGGCGCGCATCGAGTTGGGCCGCATGAGGACCGTGTGCCGAGGGACTAAGAGGAACTCGAATGGTGCCTTTCGGCAGGACGGCGCTGGAGGTTTCAGACCCTGACCAGCTCCAGGCATCGTGGGATCATGGATATGTGAGAGCACGACTACAGTGTGTCGATAAAGACACGTCGTCCTGGGAGAACAACCTTGAAGAGACATCGCGATGCGATGCTTGAGAGGTGCTTCTTCAAGAATTCAATGCCGCTCACTGCTCTGAAGTCAAGAACGCTAACCACACACCACAATGAATGGCGTTCTCGTCTGACGATGCGCCTGCTGCAACAGCCATTTATCACTGCCAGTTGCAAGTCCAATGCCTCGTCATGACGGCTTAATCTGATGTCGGCAGTGGACGTGCAAAGGGGTTCCCGACCAAAAAGTCGGCAAACCGTGCAATCACAGAAGCTTGACCGGAAGCAGTCCGTGCATTGTGCGAGGTTGGTAGCTGCAGGTAGGGCGCAAATTGGCTAAAAATCTTAGGTCTTAGGAGGCGGGCGATCTTTGATCCGACGGGACGAAATTGGGCTTCGAGTTTTGTGAGGCAGTTAAACGGCAGTTACGTCATTAAGGGGTGTGGAAGGGGGCTAAGAGCCTTGGTGACCACTCACACACTTTGGGGTTTCTGGTCATCCAGTCGTTTCATGGTTGGGTTTTCGCAACCATTGACTTTGTTTTAGGGTTTAGATTCTATGGTCACCATCAATCACCTCTGTTAGGGTTTAGGGTTGGCGTTCGTGACAACGAGACACTCTTTGTGAACAGTCACTTTGTCTAGGATCGAGCTTTTCTGCAACCGCTCAGTTTTCCGGGTTTCGGAACCTGCTGCAGAGCCGCCCCAGACGACTGAACCGGTCAAGCCCAATCCCACAAGTGTCGACCCTGCTGGAACTGGAACGGGCTGATTCGAGCAGGGGCAAGTGGATCCACGGATCTGATCGTCGTCGGATCCCCCCCCCCCCCCCCCCCCC